CATTTTCCAGCAATAAAATGATTATCAAAATCCAAATACTGTCTTTATCTGTATCTTCACTTATTACAATAAGTTAAAATATTAATACTAGTAAAAATAATAGTAATACAAGTATGAAGTAAATTGAAAACAATATATGATTTTAAAAATATGCTTACAAAAACATCATAAAATACACTTTTCATAATAATACTTTTCATATATTACAAAAAACATTCAAAAATAATATTCTGCCTTCAAATGATATATCAAAAATATACTTAGAAAAATTAAGTCTTCTTTTGTAAACTATACTGTACCTTCTTTAAACTGAAAAAGCAGATAACACTTCAGTTGTTCAAAAAAAGATTAACATTTTAAAGCAAAGTAACACGAAAAGCACTAAACCATAAATTAGACCAACCATCACAGAACATGCAATAGCTACACACATTCATCTCTCTGACACTTATGCACGTTTGCACCAGACACTTTCTTACAACCACTCCCTATATCTAAAAAACAAAACATTGTGCATGAAGTCTGCCTCACACAGGTGTGTGGGCTTGACAAACCACATGTAGAAGCATTCTTAATTCTTAAAATTTTTTGTATAATTAGCACATCTTGGGTGTATTGCCTCTTCTTGTTGATTTGCTGAATGTGTCCTCAATTGTAAGTCACTTTAGACAAAAAAGTCTGCTAAATGTTAATGTAACCACTGTAGATTCATAAGGTGGTGTTGCACATCAAGGTTTGCGCTTCATCATGCCCAGCATCCTAAAAAAGTCAGGGAAAAAAATAAAAATTTACCAACAGATCAAAGGTGAAAGGAGGAATTGGTTTAAGAGGAAAATACAAAATGTTTTAAAAAATAAAATAAAATAGCTTACCATGTACTCCCTTACTTAGGGCTTTGAGAATGCATTAACACCTTTTTTCCACTGGTGATGTTCTAAATGACATGAAATGATAATTAGTAATTTACTAAATAATTATTAGTTAAAATTACTAGTAATTTTTACTGTACATCATTTTAATGTGTGTATAGGCATCTAAAGGCATAGTACCTGGATGATCCACAGTCTCCTCAGCCAGATATGGGACTTTAGAGGTTGAGCTGTAAACCTGTGAGGGAGAAAATAGATGTGAGTGAGCAAAGATTTAAATAATAAAATATAATAATATAAATAGCAAACTACTAAACTTAAAAATCTAAACGTGTTAGATGACCAAACAAATAAGCTTACATTAAATATGTCATCATGCTAAATGTCATCCTATTTAAGTGTCACATATGCTTGTCAAGATTTTTTTTTTAAGTTAACAGGCTTGAATACAATTAGATAATAAATAACAATGTGCCAAGACCACATTTTAATTAATATTATGTAAGTTATCAAAACTGGCATTCAAACTTGACAAACTGCTTGACACTCATTTAAAATAAAGACTATCAAATCAAATAAAAAATCAAATCACTTTTATTGTCACATTATCAGCAGCACGTGTGCTATTCTAACATGACTATTCCTTACTACCAACGTTTGCAACTTTATTCTGGGGGAGTTAATATATACCAACTACCAAGTATAAAATTTCACAGGAATGCAAAACAAACTATACATTTATCTGTCTATAATGTGGAAAAGACACAGGGAACATGGCAATTTCATAGCAATACTATACACGAACACAACATAGTATTACAAGAGAGTACATTTATGATTCAAATGTTGTCACAGCCTCAGTATAAATACATAAAAAGTAAAAAAAAATCTCACCTGTGTGTCCACATTGGGGAAAGCTTTGTGCACATTCTCAATTTGTACTGTAATCTTCATCTTTTGATTCCCATAATATGGCGCCGAGCTGAGAGTGATCGTTGTGATTTGAATCTTCTTACTTCCTGTGTTGTTTTGAAACTGCGCATGTGCAGATATTACTCCACCTATTGACCAAAATGCAGTACTGCAGAAGCAACACAACTCCCTTGCATTCATGTTACATAAGCAAGCTGTTTAAATGTGAAAACTTACTTTTTCTCATTTTTTCCAACACAACACTTTTATTTTTAATACACAAACATAAGCGAATTGTTTAATTTAAACATAGTTACATTCTTTGGACCAACTAAAGCCATAATTCATTTTTTTGAGTGTTGGCTTGCCTGGGAACGCATCTGAATCCCCCCAGAGGAGCTGCAAGATGAGTCTGGGTAGAGGGAAGTCTGGGGCTCTCTCCTGAGACCGCTGTCCCAGCAATTTGGCCCCAGATAAGCAGGAGATGGTGAACTTAACAAAAATTCTAACCACTTGTTATAATCAATGTATCCAGAGCACGTTTGAATGCACAGCACATCACACTTTGAAGTGAGGTTCGGCATCAGAAAAGCACATCAGTGTCACTCCTGTCAGCCAAGAACAGTGAACTGAAAATAATTAGCATTGACTCACTAAAATAAACAACAAATAAATGGGTGGAAAAAAAGTGTCCTTACCTGATGAGTCTCAATTTCCTCTGCAGTATTGGGATGGTGTGACGTCCTATTGATAAGTGAAGTTCCTCTGGTCAAGATTGTGAGTTGACTCCATCTTCAAACTTAATTGCTTTGGGAAACACCTGCCGTTGATTTCTTCAGACCCTTTAAAAATCATATGGTTGGCATTTTGGAAGAGGGCAGACACATCTGTCTGAAACTTTCTAGTATGCCTAGTGAGACCTTGATTAGTTCAAGTGTGTTTTATAAGGGTAGGATCTGAAATATGCTGAACAGTGGCTTTCAGGAGCTGGATTAGACACCCCTGCTCTGGTGTAAAGAAATGAAAACATGGATTCAGTCTGCCTTGTATCAATGGTTTAGGTCAGCTGTGATTGTGTAATGGCATTTCTTGATCAATGTTGGGCCTCTATTCCCACATTAAACACTACAGCCTACCTAAGTGTTTCTGTCTATCCATTTATGACCCCAGTGAACCAACTTCTGATGGCTACTTCCAAGCATTGTGATGGACCATTTTTCAAAGCTTAAACATTTTTTTAAAACTTATTTCATGAGAGTAAGTATACTACCAAAATGTACCCAAGTTACCAGATCTGTCCAGTAGAGCACCTTTGGATATGGTGGAAGGGGAGATATGTCGCTGACAAATCTGCAGAGATTCCTTGATGCTATCATGCCAATATGGAAAAAATTCTTTGAGGAGTGTTCCCACCTTCTTGAATCTGTGCTACAAATAATGAAGGTGGTTCTGAAGGTCAAAGTGGATCCAAATCTAACTTCTAGCTAAGCGTATAGTAGCTGGTCAATTTCAGGAAAAGGAGTACCAAATGCATTTTGAAAGATAGTGTATGGTAATTACAAAATTGTTGCTTTCAATGATTAACACACAGCCCACTCAAGAAGAGTTGGTTTAAGATCGTTTTATTTCTTTAGGATGTGGGGTTTACACATAAAAATGTTAATACACAACATTTTGGACAGCATTAATGAGAGGTTTCTTTGTGCAAGTGTTGATGTTCACTTTTGGGTCTGTAGGCACCCCCTTTGCTAAACATGTAGTTTTTAGCGCAGCTGATCCGGACCTCACCAGCACCTGGTGCAACAGCGCTTGCTGGGATGGGGCCTCCATAAACCTCCGGCACCACCCGCTTCCTGCTCAGATCCCCAGGGCATATTGCTTGCATCCGCCCAGAAGTTAAACCAAACGAATAACCACCAAAACTTCTTACTTTCTTAAAAAAATCTCACTAAGCTAATAATGAATAAAATACAGCATTTGCAAACGAGAATGAAATCATACTTTTACAATCTCTTGCACACATATGATTTATACAATTTAAAACAGGCAGCAAAAATGACAGTTATGACTATGACTTCAGTGAAGGAACAGTCCATAAACCAAAAGTAGTTTTAGTGTAAAACAGAGATGAATATTTCCCTTAAAAAAGGTCTTGCTTCTTTAAAAGAAAGACCAAAAAGTGTGAAGAAAAAAAAACACATCATGCCATCCCATAACAGCAAAATAAAATGCCATAATGTTTTCAATCCATAATCCACCCACTGCATAATTCAAATTCAACCGACAAAAGGTGTCTTTACACACCATTCAACACTGCTTCAATGGGAAAATATTGTTCCAAGGCCTCCTGATGTGAAAGAATGTTCACTACTCTCAGAGTAGCCCAAGACTCAGGTGTAGGAAACTTAGCGCTTATACAGTACAAATCCAGTTTTCCACTCTAGTTAGTATCACCCTGAATATCAACCATGACCCACAATAGGGAGAAAACCAGGTGGCCCATTCAAAAAAGAGGCCACTTTGGGGAGAGTTTATACAAGAACATTGTTATTCAGCCATCACAAAGAAACCACAGTCTCTTGGAAATTACAAAGCTGTATGTTGAACTGTGGTTTCTGCATCTGCCTAAAAAAAAAAAAAACCTCAACATTGATGTTACCATCTTCAACATATTATCATCTTCAATCTAATAACCTTTAGCTGTCAATAATCTTAATATACAATTCATTTGTGCATAAATAATACTATCAACTTATTGTACAGGGGTGGTTTCGAAAACCATTGTTAGCCAACTAAAGTCGCAAGTAGCATTGTTGCAAACATAGTTTGTTGATTTGGCATTTCCCAAATCCATCGTTCCAATGAACACTCGCAAACTGAGCCACAAACTTGTATGCTTGCCACTACACCTATAGAGCTGTAGTTAGAAGCATAGTTCCTGGTTGCGTTTTGTTTCTAGTTATCCCCCCCATGTACCATTCCTTTCAAACCTACCAGCATTTAAACTTGGAATAATTTAAACATTAAAGTCATCTCTGTTAGGTGTAATTTGCTTTCCAAGTTTTTACAGTTCACTTTTAGCAATCTTTAGATTGACAATTGCACTTCCTTCTTAGTGCACTTTGAAAACAAGTATGTCAATTGAACGCAGTTGTGGCTCATGACAAAAGCTATAGGTGACCTATTATTTAAAGCAGAATTTATGTTACGTCTCCAAAGCTTGTGAAAACAAAAACATAGCCAACGTTAATGCTTTTAATTTATATTAGGTTATTTATTAAGAAATGTATCTGTACTGTATTTGACATGAGCTTGTTGGTTAGAACATTTCTGCAGTGGTTTGAATGTGTCAAATTGTAAAAGTAGACTTTAATAAATAAAATAAAAAATAAACAAGATCCTACTTAATATTAAGAATAAAATCATAATAATTATTATTCTAAGTAGGATTTTAATTTCTTAATAAGTAACCTAATGTAAATTACAACTAATAACGATTTATTTGATTTATATGAGATTAAATACGTGTTAGCTAAGTGGTTTTATGTTTTGGAATAAAATACAAAACATTCTCAATAATATTTGTAAAGGAAACACAGGCCCTATATGTGCCTTTTCTATACATTTCAATTGAGATGGAAAACGAGTGCATGTTTTTACCTAAACTTAAATTGGATTATTTTATTAAAATGCGTGTGCGTGTAAAATAATATAATTTGTACAAAACATTATAGGGTTTTACTCTAAAGAAGTAGTTACTCCACCCCATTTAGAGCGCCATTATTAACGTTTTACGATATAGCGTGGTTCAAACGATGGATCTGTGACAGAGAAACTACGGTTTTGGGAAACGCTCCTTACCACATCGTTCTTTTCCTAAACAAGTTAGGCCGTTTGGGAAACGCACCCCTGGATTTACAAGTACTGGTCTTATTGATGGATTCATTCTTACAGACGTCTACTGCATGTATTGGTTACGTAAAATGGAATGCACCAAAGTTAAAATACAACAATCAGTTGGTCTTACTGTAGATCTCATTAACAAAATGTGTCCGCATGGTCTCACATGCGCCTCTAATGGAGAAATTGAAGACACTTGAAAAATGAAGGTCCCGTTTCTAAAAGCTTTTTTCATAAAACGGCGACAAAAACATCAATCAAGTTCTCCCATATACATCTATTTTATAACACATTCTCATCTAGAGACTACTAACAAATCCCCATCACTGAATACACTTTAAAGATCCACAGATTAACATACAAAAAATGCTACCAGCAAAGACAATAAGTGATTTGTGATGGAGGCACATGTTTCGCACAATAGCTAAATATGGCCGACCACATGGTTGATGCAGTTGATCAGATTACTGACTAATAATCAGTGATCGTATCCAATGCAAAAGGCACTATGGATAAGAATACCCTATGAAGTACATAAACACAGCAATTAATCTTCACTAAACAACTGTGCGCATTAATCTTCTCCTAACATCTCTATGTGTCTAGTGCACTTTTCATAAAAAACTATATTATACTGTGATATTTAAACGTAGCCTTAAAATATTTCAGATATTTTCTATTTGTGTGTTTTAGGTCTATTGAAAATCTAAAAAACAATCCGAAGTTAAAGGCATTGTGCAGCTTCATGCATAAAATAAATCCCCTCGAAATAAACAAGGAAAGATGTACCACAGACTACACACATAATAAAAAGGACAGAATACACACAATAAAACTTTGAACGGCTCCAACATGAGGCATAATGATGTGTATTCTGTCAGTGATCCACCAGAGGGCGCCAACTGTCCTGCTACAATATTGAGGAAATCTGCATATCTGAAATTAGATTATCTTAAATTCTAGTATTATTATTATTTCGAGACTTGTTATAATAAAGTGAAATGTTGACTGCATAAAGCTTTTGACAAAGAGGAACAAACTGGCCCTTACAATAATTGAACTATATCCCTTTCAACAGAATATCTCCAATTTACACCCAAACATCTGGTTGGAAATGGTTTAAAAGTCCAGTTAAGACCTTCACCTTGTGGATACACATCCCATAGTTAATAGTGACTGATTAGTCTGTGCTTTGTTTGAAGGTCACTAAGATTTGCGCTTATTCCTTAGAGGGGGTTTCTTTGAGAAAAGGTGAAAAAGAAGAATGGACAGCCCGTCCCTTTAGGTCTTGCTGAACGCGGAAGTTGTTGACCATACTTCTCTGCACTTGCTCCTCTGCCGATGTGAACAGCAAACTCCGAAACACTGCCAACTGAAAATACAGAGCAAAAAAAGTATATGTTAAATGGGGAACACATTCAAAGAGGAAAATTTTACGTAAAAAAAACAAACAGAAAAAAACAAACAGAAAAAAACAGATGTCTTGCTGTCCGCCAGATGAGCTTTTCCACTCCATCGGCCAGGTTACCATGGAGTGGTGGAACATGAAGTCAGAATAACAAACAGACTTCCAGCAGAGTCAAAGCAGCTTGTGTGAGCCTAAATTTATGGCTGTTTTATATCATGAAGAGTCTCATTTTTGATAGTCCTATTTATTAAGCGTTCTCTTAATAAGCATTCTAATAGGAATTCTAATTCTAATAAGAATTCTAGATAAAGCATTCTCTTACAATTTAAACTAAAAAGTTCTGATGTTAATAAAAATGCAAATGCCCATCAACCCCTCCACTGTTCCTGGTTGTGTATAACTATATACTCAAAATACCCCAATAATCTGTTTGATTTTCAGAGCGGTTTTACTTTTGACAAACAACTGCGAGTAGAAACAGGCATTAATACAATAAAAATAATAAATAAGACGGTAAGAACAAATAAAACTGATGTAAATGTAATTCATTTAGCCTACTATACACAAACTAGAAGTATTGTCAAAAGCCCTGCATAGTCTTCACAGAGTAAATAAACATTCATACTGTAATTATTCAGTGAAAGTGACTGGATTATATTCTTTTTTGCATTTGATTACATTTGTGATGGTCAATGTTAATTTAAGACATAGCTAACTCATTTTAAATGGAAACACATTGATCTGTTTCAGCACACAGATTAAGTACGGAGTAGCCTATACGTGTCTATTTTGTTCCTTCGCAAATCACAAAAACGCGATTTCTTTTTTAGTATAGCACTGAAATATTACAGTATAGCAAGATTTGGAGGTTAAATGGGATAGGCGACATTGTGTTATTTTCATTGTGATGTCATAATCATTGAAAGACAAAATTACAACCTGATTAAAATCAGTTGCACAGCTCTATTAAAGTGATCAGTTAAAACTGAACATTTACTTACAATGTATTCACTCTTAAGTGCTTCCAAGCGTTTAACACAAAAGAAGATATTTAGAATAATGTAAGAAACTGGTAACCGTTAACTTCCATAATAGGAAAAACAAATACAATGGAAGTCAATCTTTACTGGTTTATAACATTATTGAGAATAACTTCTTTTGTTTTTAGGAGGAAAAAACCTCAAACAGGTTTGTGCCAATCAAGGGGAAGTGTTATCAATTTGGGTAAACTATCCCTTTAAATCATAGGTGTCAAACTCAATTCATGGAGGGCTGCAGCTCTGCACAGCTAATCCAAAAAACTGAGGTGTTTAAAAGAATCTTGAACACCTTGTTTAGTTGCATCAGCTGTGTTTGATTGGGGTTGAAGCAAAGCTACTGAGCTGCGGCCCTCCAGGAATTGAGTTTGACACCAATGCTTTAATTCATCTTTAGGAGCAAGGAGGCCCCCTGGTGGTTCAGCAGGGAAAGTACTGCAATGTGTACAGGGAAATAATACCACAGATAGGAATCAGTGGTTAATATCATTCCTAATTTCAATCTGACCATAAATGTTTTTTTTTTTTTGTAAGTAGTGCTGTTTAAGTGAGGATGTTATTAAACTATGAAGCAATTAAACACAAAAGGACAGGTACTAAAGCTGAAACCGGAGCAGAAACTGGAAACACACTGACCTAATGATAATTTTACTTCAAAAAGGGTGTTTCTTAAAGATACAAAAAGGAAAAAAACATACAAAAATATAATTAGGTCTATAATAGTCAGTACTTATAGGACTTACTGCTCCATCAACACTTACTCAAAAAATTACTTAAAAAATTGTGTGTGTGTTTTTATTCTGCATAATTTAGAAAATCGGCCTCTTACCTGATCGTGACTGACTTCAATGTGCTGCTTCATCACAATCCATGTCACAGCCTCAGTAAGAGGAGGTGTGGTCAGGGAACCAGGGTACGTCCAATAGTCACTGATGTTCTCCGGGAGGAGGCACGATGGGTCAAACTTGTTGAACTCCACCACACTATCCTGGAAAAGAATGAGAACATTAATAAATATCAAATTCTCCATCTGTTTCCAAAACATCATTCCCTGAGGCACCTAATCTCATTTCATCCTCAAAGCAAAGCCAAGTGCAATGCCTACAAAACAATGTTTGACATGTAGTACCTTGTGTCTGACTGCAGGCAAGGCGTCCACTAGTTTCTGCAAACCCTCATGTCTTTTTCCAACCTGTCAAAAAAACAAAACAAATGTACTTTTAGACATTATAATTGATTGGTAAGCTTTAATATCTGATTTGGGTGATTCTAGAACTGCGTTTTGGTCAGGTTTTGGAGTCTGCTTTAATGTTCTGATGAGTTGAGTCAGGTGTTTGATTATGGAGAGGTTTACAAAAAAGTGTGCTGCCAGTGTGCCTTCAGGAACAGGGTTCGGAAACACTGTCCTAGATGACCCTATTCAAAGTATTTCTCAAATACTTTAATGAAACTGGTTAAAATAATAACGCAAATTAAATCAAAGCATCTCAAAAAATGTTTTTGTATGTGTCTTTTAACGTATATGAAATAAAAGGAGATGTGTTGTTTATAAAACTCCCTGTTTACCTGTAACGGTAGGACGGTTTGCTTTGTAAAAGAAAGGAGGGTGAAAGAGGTGAGCAGATCACGGTCGTCCGTACATTGCTGTTTTCGCCTGTGGTTTACTCATTGGACTTTATCAGAGTTATCAGACTATTCGATTGCCATCAGGAAAGAGCCCCAGGACAATAATAACGAACTCCCAGTGATGTATTTTATGCTGGTGAGGCCATCCATATACACATTTAGAGACACGCGCACACTCACATACACATACACATACACATACACATACACACAGTTGTACGTAGTGATTTGGTTTCATTTGTAAATGTTTAGTATGTATATTGGTATTTACTGTTTGGGGTCATGGTAATCAAATATAATGGTGGGTGTACAGTACATGTATCCGGTCGTTACAGTTTCTTATACAATTAGATCAGTACTATGCTGGATTACGAATGGTTATTTTTATGTAAATTGCTTTAGTAAGGGTGGATGTTACAGTATTTTTAGAGAACTCTTGAAAATATTAATTTAAAAAGAAATCCACAATACCATTTTTTTTTACCTCTGCCAACTGAACCATAAATTTAGCTTCAATTATCATGAAATGATTAAGTCTAATATTATTATTTTTGTGTGTTTACTCTACTAATTTACACAATAATGTATTAATAATGCAAGTAAAAAAACAAACCCTTTTTTTGTCTGTCCCAACATTCTGGTCAACTAGTTAAAAGACAAAATCTATCAAGTTATAAAAAGCATGTGATCTGCTTAAAGTAATGTGACTATAAAGAAATAAACCATAACAAAGAACTGAGGAATGTCAGCATTATTCTCTCAATAGTTCAAAATGTTTAGGATACATCAATAGTAGATTATATGTCACCTACACATGGTGATATTTCAGTCATTTTGCGCTTCACTTTTTAAAAACAATAATATAAGAAAAACAAGACAAAAATACATAGAATTCCATTTTAGACATGCCATGTGGTATTTAATTTAAAGTTAGCTAGAGATAAAAGTAGTGGAAAATGTCAACTCTGATGTGTCAACCTTGTTTAGTTTTCAAAAGTTTAACATGTTTTACAACAATTAGTAAATGTTCGCCATCACATTTGAGCATTTTGCATTATTTTACTTCAACAGTGGATTCAGTTGACTGTAAATTATGCATGTGTTCTAGATCGTGGTTTTTCTAGATCATTCCAGTTTAATAAAAAAAGGTTTCTGCAGGATTCATCAAGTTAAAGTTAAGACTTTAAGACATTATTAAGACCATTATGAATCAATTCGACTCATACAGGGCTAAACACTGAGGAGTTTTTCAAATGGCCCAGATGGAAAATATTGAAATTTGTCCTATCAAAAACAGTATTATAATTTAATACATTTAATAATACAATAATTTAATAACAAATTTAAATATTTGAAATATTGTGTCAAAACAAGCAAGCTCTAGTTGTAAACATACCTTTTTTTCAACATAAACCTTCTAAAATAAAGGGACAAATGTTTTAAACGTTTGATAAACTATAATAAACTAAATGTATACATGACGGTCTGTCCAGGCCAGTGTCCCCAGTGTAAATAGATGTGAAACTTTTAAACAAATAAGATTATGAGGAAAATAATTTTTAAATGATGGTAAATAGAGGCAAAAATAACATTATTAAACAAAAAGTTAAGTTTTTTTAAGATAAATTGTTAATGATTGTATGGGTGTTAATTGCTAGATTGAGTAGATATACATGATCAAAGGAAAATTAGGGCCTGTTAAAAAGGATTTAAGACCTACAACACAATATTTCAGTATATTTAAGACTATTTAAAGGCCTAAAATTTAGTTTTTGAGATTTTAGACGTTTTAAGACCCCGCGGCCACCCAGGAAAAAGAAAGGGAAATGCTCAATAACTGTAAAGATCTGTACCTTTAAAAACACTCCAATAACAGCCAGTCCGTTTTCCTCCATAACAGCCTCCTCAAACAAACTGTACTTGTCGGAGTTCCAGTGAACAATATGGAGCTGTGAAAATAAAAAGACACACACCCATTATACCAATACACACCAATTATGAAAATATGCACATTCCCCATAACCCCTACCCACTTTGCTTTAGTTCATGTTACTACAGTCTTCTATCTCGCTGCACAATCTGTACAAAAGGACAGAATTTAATTCATTCTGGTATTCAACCAAGGAGGGGGGAATAAAAGCACCTTACGCAATAGAAGATACGTTTACACAAGGCTGAAATCTGAACCTCGTCTAACACACACACACACACAAATCAGTGGAGCTCAAAGAGTGTCGAAAGCCATAACCCAGTCACATTCTCATCAGCACTAACAAAGCCAAACTTGGCTTTCTGGCACAGTAAAGTCACTCACACATGGCTTCTTATGTAACCGCTTAAAGTAGTACAGTTTGTCCTGGGCTAGCACCGCATATTCATTCAAGTGACTTTACAATAGAAAAAGTGGGTTGTTCTTAACTTTAAAGACCCCGCCCTCTTTTTCAGAGAAATACACGTGTTGCAAGCAAGCGGCAACCTCCCGCTCTCCCTCAGGAAGCCAATACGGAAGTAACTAAAACTGCAATTCATCCGAAATTCCACTAGTCCTGGCCGCTCCTGGCTCCAAAACAGAGCAAATTTCAATTGAGCCCACTGTTAGAATGGCCAACTTTACAGCAGAAAAAAAGGTGTTTACAGCCTGGTACAAAAAAAGATTTTGGTTAATACAGTTAATATTACCCTTCATGACAACTGTGAGGGGGGTGAATTTTTTTATAACTCATCCGTTTCCTTTATATTAAGTTATATTAAGTTTGCATAATTAAGGGAGTGGCCACTTGAGTGACAGTTAGGTCTTGCTGGTCGCCGTCACGTCACCTCAGCTGAATCCTGCAGATTAGCCACTGAACTCGGCATATTTATCGTATTTCTGTGTTGTTTTATGTGGCTTTACACAGTCAACTGCTTTTTGGACTTGTTTCCCACAATTATTAGATGGCATGGCATGCTGAGGGCACTTAATTGTGCTCACAAACCGTTCACGTGGCCTCCGTTTCCCATGTGAGTAAAGTTATATACTTATATACCATCTCTGTACATGTATTTGATTTATTTAAGATCATTTATCGTTTATATTTATATTTAGAGCTGTAATGCACTCCAGAATCTGTCAGATTGATTAGCTGTAGGCTCTAGAACAGTCATCTGAAGTGTTGTCATATAGTGTTATGCTGGATTTTATCAATAGTCTTACAGTAACTAATACAGACTATATCTGAAGTGTTTGTAAGTAATTCGCGTTTTTCTCCTGTTGAAAAACGTCATAAGAACAATGTTTAGTGGCTCAATGTATTACAGCAGTGTTTTTACAAGTCTAAACAATTTATTGATATAGTGTACAACCAAGCACAAGTGGTCAGAATACAAACGAGTCACAGGTGATAAAGTATTAAGCATTTCTCCCAAAGTAAAGTGTGTCTGAACCAGGTCCAAGCTAAATGCTAGCAGGTGTCTGTAGCTCCGCTCACTCTCCGCCTCTTTGCCCTTGTTTGGTATCCCGCCGTGGGTGTGATGACGCGTGACCAAAATGGCGACGGTTGGCCGCGCCTACTTGTGGCTTCTTTTGCGCTCTTCAGAAACCTATGGGTGACGTCACGGATACTACGTCCATATATTTTACAGTCTATGGTTGCAAGAGAGGAGTAATTCATCATAGTAATAAATGACATCCAGATGGCTAGACTAGAGCCATTTCGCATCCTCCAGTGTACATTAATATAAAACATAAAGGTTACCTCAGCAGCGTAAAGCCGGCGGTCTATAGAGTGCTCAGATCCCCAGTTGTTGTTTTCTCCCCAGTGGAAATGAAACTGGCAGAGTCTGTACTGATTCTCCAGTGGTCCTCCCTTCACAGCTAAAAAAGATTACTGCTTTAAAACCATACTTTAATTTTTCTAATGAGAGTAGCTGCTAATACCAAGCTCAAGTTCTACTGTAGGACTATAGCCTTTGAATCAGAAACTATAGTTATCAAAAAAACTGATTAAGAGTATTAAAATGACTTACTTGATTTGTCAGTAGTGTCGTCGTACTCCACCAGAAACGAGTAACCGTTGTTCCAGATTTGCTGGCAGGTCCTTGGGTCATATTGCACCTTCAGAGGTCTGAGCTGCGGATTAAAGATGCTTTTACGCACTTCAATGTCAATAGGTGACTGTCGATCTCCCCCAGGGATGGCAAGCGGCTCCTGCCACATTGGATGCACTGTAAAGAGAATGACATAAACATCTATTTGAACTGTGGTTTTTAATGCAGTAAAAGTGTAGTAGCTACAGTTTTGGTGCATTGGTTATCATTTCTAGAACCGCAGTTTTACTACAAATACCATGGTTAAGCTATAGGACTTAGCAAAACCAGAGCTGTTTTGTGATTACCATCTTTATTTACTTAAAAATACCATATTTATAGAAGGACCATGGTTAATTTTCCCACAAAATGACCCAAAATGCTGTCTAAGTAGGCAGCACACTGTTGTAAAGCAATTCTAACATAAGCACAAAATATTTCATAAAATGCTTGTAGGTTTTACAGCAAATAACACAAAGAACAAGCTGAGATAGACAGACAGACAGACAGACATTTGTGCTAAAATCAAATGTGTTAAATCCTGTCAGGAAAAAGGCGGCAAAAAATCCAGCTCAAAGCAGCACAAACAGTTGAGTCAACATTACCCAAACTGTTGTATAGCAAATCTAACATTGGCACAAGATATTTCAGACAATGCTTGTAGGTTTAAAAACGAATGACACAAAGAACAAGCTGCATAGCACAGATAAATAGACAGACAGACAGACAGACAGACAGACAGACAGATTTTAAACCTACATTTTATACCACAGAGTGAAGCCTTGTGCGTTGCGTTACACATTTGTGCTAAAATCCAATGTGTTAAATCCTGACAGGAAAAAGGCGGCAAAAAACTCCAAGTCAAAGCGGCACGAACAGTCGACGAGCTGTCCGTTTGGAATGTGTTACAGAAGTCAAAGAAGAAAAGAAAATATGCTTCCTCTCGTGACTCGATGATTCAAAGAAAAAGAAGGAAAAAAAAAGAATTCTGGAATGTGAGAGGGGAAAACTGACTTAACAGGACGACAGTCAGCAGAGTTTAATGCCACATTCATGAAAAGAAATTCCCTTAGGAGGTTACAGGCGATCCTTGAGCAAACACGTATGAGCTCTTTCATACAGGAAGAAGCTTTGCCATCAGAGCTCTTCTTACACAATTGCTGCCCAGATTGTAGTCACATGCTCTAGTTTCTACAAAAGGAATTAAAGCTGCCAGAGAATTTGGCCTTTCATGAGATTAAAATGGCCTTTACTATAATTCCTGTCAGCCATTTAAGTGGTCTAGTGAAAGGTGATTACAACTGGGCTGACCCATTTTGTGGAGAGCAAACGCCAGTTCTATCTTTACTTGAATTATAAAATATCAAAAAACATACTCATTTAAGCTTAGTCTGTGATTAAATGTAGATTAAAATGGACTTTTGTAAAAAACGTGGTATGTTTAATCTGTTATTTACTTTACCGAAACCATGTAGCACATATACAGAAAAAACATTGTTCCCTGAGGACAATTAACTATGGTTTTTACTACAACTAAAACCAAAATAAGATCTTGCAAATCAAACAACCTTGACCATTGTAATAAAACTGTTTTACAAATGGTAATCAAGGCACCAAAAGCATTTTTACAACATTTTTACAATAATAAAGCATGCCTAATTTAAATAAGGGTTGTGAAAAACCTATTTATTACACCGATTTTGCATTCATGTGGCTTCAATGTGAGCATTAAATAATTAAAATCGGAAAAGACCGCCTCTATGGTGATAAACCAATCTGGTTTAGATAAGATAAGTTGCTAATTGTGTGGTAAAGATATGAATACAAACATGCAGTCGTACTACTTCGGTTTAAAAATAATAATAGATATATGTATGATGTATTTTTGCAAGCAAACTACATAGTTTAATTTTAAAAAATGTAAGTTTATATATAGTATTATACATGTAAAGTTGTTACACAGTTACTATTTTTCCTAACTAAACAAATGTCAACCCCCATTTTGAACTCTTAGTAAAGTTCTTTATTTGGTTTAGTAACTATCAAGAACAGCTCAAACTAGACTAGGGATGCCCAAACTTGGGCCCCTGGGCCAAAATTGGACCACGTAACCTTAGATTTGGTCGTCACCCCATCTGAGAAGAGTGAAAGAATGATGGGCATGGTTTAGAGCAGGGGTCACCAATCTTGGTGTCCCTGGGCCGGTGTCCCTGCTGTGTTTAGCTCCATCTCTCCACAACACAACTGCCTAGAACTTTCTGGATATCCAGGTAAAGTTAGGTTAGGTTTCTTAGGTTTTTAGTTAGGTTTCTGTAAGATCCAGGTTAGCTTGTTCCAGTTGTGTTTGATTAGGGTTGGAGCTAAATTCAGCATGACGCCGGCCCTCAATGAATAAGTTTGGTGACCCCTGGTTTAGAGGTTGCCATTTTAAATATAATGTAACCTTTTGTTTGTTGTTTTTACTGTTAAAATCAAACTGAAATAAAATGTTTTAATAAATGATGGTGTAAATTGATCAGATTTAGTTTATATGTACTATCACCCGACAGACAACAAATCAAGGCAAAGGCAGATTCTGCTTGATTAGCTAGCGTATTTATCACTGAAATCCACTGTTTTATAAATTTCAATGTTTATGTTATTATTGCAAATAAGTTATCATTTTAAATATTATAGTGCATTTTTTCATATGATTTTAAGTAATGTTTTTCTATTTACTTTTAATTCTTATGAAATAAATAAGGAAATTAGCCAAGGCAACTTTAATGTAAACTATATCTTGATATATTTACCTTCGGCACATGGCCCTTTATGCGTAAAGTTTGGGCACCCCTGAACTAGACGATCATCCTAACAAAAGTTTTACATAAACCATTATGCCGTCAAACTGTTGTATAATTGCAATATCACACTCGTAGCAGTGCAAAATGGCTGTATATCAGCACTGGTGAGTCGTACATTGGCACGAGGCCGCAGGCGGAAGAACTACTTTCTTCCACGCTGGATTCAAATCATAATTGTTAAACAGTCAAAGTTAAACACCTGAGCAAGTATCTTTTAAACTTTAGATCTGTAGTCTCTGCTTTTTGCTCGCTGTATATGGAGTAATACACAAAGGGTAAAGAGGCTGTACGGGTGCTGATATTACTTAAATATATCACGGCTATCAGCCAATCAGATTCGATAACCAGACAGAACTGTTGTATAAATATATATATATAAAAGCAATTCCAGCGCTTTGGATGTGACATTTGCAGTAAAAACTTAAAACATACATACCAACAGACTTATGGGACCAGAAGAATATCAAACTGTAAACATGTTTTGTACTTTAAATGTGGGAAATAAACATGTGTTATCTATGTGACAAAAAAAGTCTGAGGGTTTAAAGTATACAACATACTTTGTAGAAATTCTGTGAATTAAACTGCACAACCCAAAAGAAACAATAATAATCAAAGGGATAAGAGATGGCTCTCTATAGAACAAAAATTATTGATTTTATTTTATTTATTATTTTCAAATTTAGGAGGCAAAAGTGTCCTTATGGATGTGACGTCTCTCCGTTATGGATGTGACAGATGTGAAATTGCCACTTGTGAGACTTTGGTAAATCAAATAGAATAGTCTGAAAACATTGACAGATGCATTTTTGAGTATTTCTAAAGGACTGTAAAATACCTTCTTACCCCAAAAAACCCAGAAACAGTTTTTGTATTTTGGTGAAAACTTAATTTTTTTCATGGAAAGGTTGACATTTGCATGGAATTGCTCATATATATTGTTATTATATCAATTATTATAATTTTAACAACTCTTTTAACTATGTAAAAAACATTTTGTTCATTAAAAAGTTTATGGACGTTCAAGGTTCAAACAGCCAGTCCCATGTGACGTTTATTGTATCTTCAGTGGGCTTTTCAATGAATGAATGTTCAGCTGACACCATAAACATGACCCCTATATACCTCTCATGGGCGGGGCTTGTGGAAAAAAAACAGTCGACGCTTGTCAAACACGATTTTAACGGAGGGTATTATCACATACATCCATTGAAATGTGTGTTATTACATAACTCATTACTGCAACAGCTTCAACATAATACATTCTGATATAACCACATGTGTTAATGTAAACATTCCAAGCCATTCAAAACCCGGAAGTCATTCAAGAAGTCGTTTTTACAGAAAATATAAAGTAAACACACAAATTGTATGTGCATAATAAACAACCCAGCCATAAATGACACATCATATGTAATAAAAGCGTAGTTGCTTAATTAATGAAACGATAGCCTATCAAACTGACGTCACCAACTCAGACAATGTGGTGTTTGTTTACCTTGACGCATAAAAAAGATACAAGAAAGAAAAAATGCACCAACCTTGACTGAGGATTGATAGTTTGCTGGAACATGCAGTCAAGTTACACGCCCGAGCAGGAATCCAGCGCTGGCTTCTAACATGTTTGACCAGATGCCTGTGGATTTGACGTCCGAGAGGCGCTACGATGGCTGTCAGTGTGACCATGATGCGTTTAGTTTACTTAAAAATAACAAATAACTACCTCAAGTCTCGGATTAAACCATATAAAGCTTGATTAATAGTTTCGGTCACGCCTTGCCATGCGGAAAAAGTCCTTTTTGCGTGCGCCCTCGTACTGAACTTGTACCAACAACAACTCAACCTGCTCTCGGTCCTGCTGATTGGTGGATGAATACAAAAAAAAGGGCTGGTTAACAACACCCACCACAATTTCTAGACGTTTCCTATTGTCTCGGTCTTACGAAACACAAAGAGCGTTTTGTATGTTGTTATGACAGCAGGATGAAAATGACGCGCATGAGTGTATCGGACAGGTTTAAATATTCCTGGAGAAAATGGTGGACTAGGTCCAGTTGGGGGTCGGGAGTCGAGGTTTTAGTCCAATCAGCTTCATCGCAAGAGGGGCGTTGGGTTTTAAATATATGCGGAGGAGGAGCAGGAATAAAGGTGGTGATTGTTACACTAAAGGGCTATTTTTAGTGGATTGTATTTTAATTGGAATATATAATTATCATTTTGGTGTTTAATATAGCAAACAGAAATTATAGCTATGAATTGGTTTAAATTGGTTTAGCTATGAACTATTCCAGCGTTACAGATGTGACATTTGCAGTAAAAACTTAAAACATAAATTAAAAAAAGAAAGTATATGTTAACATATTATTAAAACATCTGTTTATATTTCCCCAAACAGCTAACCAGAGTTATGGGATCAGAAAAATATCAATGTTTATATTTTAAATGAGGGAAATAAACATGCCATATAGGATGTGACCAAAAAAGTCTGCGAGTTTACAGTATACAATGAATTAAACTGCACAACCCAAAAGAAACAATAGTAATCGAAAGAATAAGAGTTGGCTCTCTGTAGAAGATTGATTTAGCCTATATTTTTGCATTTATGTAAAAAAAATCTTTGTTATGGATGTGACAGATGTGAAATTTGCACTTGTGTTTTTGGTAAATCAAATATAATAGTTTGAAAACATTGACAGATATATTTTTGAGTATTTTACAGCACTTTAATACAAGCCTAGTCTAAAAACTTAGAGTTTCGATACTTTGGTGAAAACTTAATTATTTTCTTGGCAGGATTGACATTTGCATGAAGTTGCTCCTGTTTAATCACATCACTTATTTATTAATCTTATTTTAGATATATTCAGGGTGTAAATTACAGGAGGGTGTCTATATTTAATAAAAAAAATACAATAAATGCCTTTAAACTAATGTGGGTGACTTCTGGTGTCATCTAAATAAAATAATTTTAATCTACAAAGTTTCTTGCAGATTTGATATTCATAGCATTAAATGTTTTGTGAAACTGCTTTTAATCACTCAAATAGCATAGTCGTTTTTAAACTAACACTTTCTAAAATTATACCAATAGTGAGTTAAGACGTCCAGCTTAAACCATCCTGGTCAATCTGGATTTAGCTGGTCATATTCCTGGCATATTCGACCAGGAAAAACCAGCATAGACTGATTTAAGCTGGGTTTTTTTCAGCAGGGTTTTAATTAATAATGTAAGTTTTTTTCTGAGAAAACAAAAGCCATTGTTTCTCAAAACTATTTACCTTTACTTTTAATGTCAACCTTTAAAGATGTCAAGTGACTTACTGTTTCTGTACTATAAAATGCATTTCTTATATGCCATTTTTAAGTATTGATGTAGCCAGACAGGTAGCTTTACTATTCACTGCACTAGTTATTTACCTACACTACATGAAAAGTTAATTCTGGCATATTCGTTGAAATTACCTCACATCCTCGCTGCAAAATGACAGACACGTTAGCACTGACATCCAAGACCATGACAATATCGATTGCTATTAATACTCAGTAATAATGCGCATTAAACGGTTGCGTCGAAGGAATTAGTTGGCATAACGAATATTACAAAATTACAACTCGTAACGTACTGCAGACAGTTTATCATGTTATTTACATTTTCTATCAAAAAACAGTTCATAGTTACGTCAAGCATCAAAGAAATGTCTAGACCAAAGCAAACAAACAGTTGACCATCGCCTCAAAAACTGCCTGTGAAAACGTAAATCCTGCCAACTAGGGAAAAGGTAAACGTGTCACGACGCATCTTGGATGAACTCCGCTGACGACAGAAACCACGTGAACGGTGGACTCTGAAATGTACGTGAGTAATAACAAGTGAAAACAGAATGTTCTTACGTCAAGCATTCTAATGTAAACAACATGTAATTAGGACGTTGTACTTACATGAACACGTTTCTGTGGTAAATACAGATTAAGTGGTCTTCGCTCTGCTGCTCAGTTTGCTCAGTAAATGAGGCATGAGCTGATTTATACTGCACTTAAATAATGAAACAACGGCATAAACGGTTGTCTTGTGTATTTAAAAAAAAAAGAAAATGGTCACAATATTTTTCATTGTGATGCTGAAGCAATGCAACAAGATAAGCAATCCATCATACAGTAATAGTGTTACCGTAAAATGATTTTACTTTGAAATGTTACTGAGGTTGGCAACAAAAACAACCTGTAATAAATATGGAATATGGTTTTTCCAAGATGAAAATGCATTGAAAATACCATCAGCACTTTTGTCAGATTTTCTAAAACACTGCAAAATACGAGGACATACATTGTAAAAAATACTGAGTTGAAAAGCTGTTTTGTCCATCCGAGGAAAAGCTAACCGAGGTAAGTTCATATCTCAGCTGTTTTCTGTTCCCAAAAAAAATATAGAAAGGAAAAGACGACATCCATTGAGCTTGAACCATATTGTACAGATATATTTACATGTTTGGTAAGAGAAACCGTACAAAAAATTGAACTGGAGGAAAATCCTGTATTGTAGGCAGGTGAAATCTTGTCAAAGACTAGTCTAGAGCGATGATGTCTTCATCATCATCATCATCATCGGCCGGCTGCTGGTCCAGGCGTTTGCGCTTAGATGAAGCATCGTCTGTTTCAGCATCATGATGTTTCCTCTTGCGGTTACTGGACTCTGTGTCCATGGTGCTTGATGACGGCTCTTCATCAGAGTCTACGAGAAGGACATCGTCGTCCTCTACAGCTGCTGGAAATGGGGAAAAAATAAAGTGTGTTAAGGCCTGTTTACACCAAGAGCAATAGATGAAACAATACACTTGCATCCACATTTAGGAAAGATAACGATCAGTTTATTTTGTAGTTAAGCTTTTCATTTAGCATTACCTCCCTTGTAACTAACAGATATTCTCAGTGTGTTACTAGCACATACGTTAAGTGAATCCAACTTGTGTAATCTAAAACAGTTAATTTAGCTATCACAATCAGTGTAGTGGTGGAATAAAAACAAATGATTTTCACCTCAGCATTTTTAAGAGGCAAAAAGTGCTGATGGTATTTTCACAGCATTTTCATCTTGGAAAAAAAAATCATTCCATATTTATTACAGGTTGTTTTTGTTTGCAACCTCAGTAATATTTAAAAATCAAATCATTTTACAGTAACACTATTACTGTATGATTGCTTGCATATGCTTTTGCCTTTCTTCACAGAGGGCTAAAACAAGCACCAGCAGCTTGAGCTACTTAATTTTTAAACTTTAATTCGCTAGCCTGGCTTTTATAACGTCTATGTATTTTTTAATAATCATTTTCCATGGTATAACCTTTTACAAAACGTCATCTTTAAATAACCTTTAAAAAAATAGCTTAAACAGAAATTCTCCAAAATGTTGTCTGTAGATTTAAATTGTACAAGGCCTTTTTATATTTCGATGGATTATGACAGGCTGTCAGTGTTTTATTGTTTATTGTCTGAGAATAAAATACAAATAAATTTTAAACTGATCCCTATGATAATGTTTTTTCTACATCTTTGTAGAAAAACTTTATTAGGTAGGCGCCACTTTATTAGGTACACCAGTCCAACAGCTTATTATTGCAAATTTCTAATCAGTTAACCACATGGCAGCAGCAGTTTTTTAATGCATTTAGGCATGTAAACATGGTCAAGTCGATTTGCTGCAGTTCAAACAGAGCATCAAAATGGGGAAAAAAGGTGATTTAAGCGACTTTGAAGGTGGCATGGTTGTTGGTGCAAGACGGGCTGGTCAGAGTATTTCTGAAACTGTTGATCTACTGGTATTTTCATGAACAACCTTTTCTAGATTTTACAGACAATTGTCTGAAAAAAGAGAAAATATTCAGTAAGTGGCTGATTTGTGGGCACAAATGCCTTGTTGATGCCAGAGGATAGAGGAGAATAGACAGACTGGGTCGAAATGAGTGTCAGTATGTGTACTCTAGCCTATATAATGTTGAACATAATGCAAGAGGGAATCTGATATTGATAAATGTTTTATTTTACCAGTGAAAGAATTGGTCTAATAATGTCAATGACAAATAACAAGCATATGTCTCAAACATAATAATTCAACATCGGAATTATGAATAGTTGTATTCTAATGTCATCACTTTACTGTTAATGACCAGGACAAATTTAAAGTCTATACAAAATGTAGTATTTTTAACCAACAGTAGACCTACACATAATATTATTTTTGTTTTACAATATGCTTGAGAAATAACAATAATATTAGCCCACTCATATTAACCCTAATTTTACATATACAGAATTGTTAGAAAATTATGATCTTTTTAGGAAAAAAAAAAAAAATGTGATTCTCATTTTAGCCAGAATCGTGTAGCTCTACTTTGGGATGTGGTGGAACAGGAGATTCGCATCATGGATGTGCAGCTGACAAATCTGCAGCAACTGTGGAATGCTATCATGTACCAATATGGACCAAAATCTTTGAGGGCTATTTCTAGTACCTTGTTGAATCTACACCATTAAGGCAGTTCTGTAGGCAAAAGGGGTCCAACCCAGTAATAGTAAGATGTACCTAATAAAGTGGCCAGAGAGTGTAGTTGTGCTCTGAACTGTTGTTTTATTTATTTATTTATTTATTTATATTATATATATATATATATATATATATATAATTTGTGCAAACTTAAAAAAAAAAAAAAAAAAAAAAAAAAGTACGTCATTCTAAGAATGTAGTTTATATGCTATTTTCAATGTAATCCAAAATGAGGATTTAAAAAGCAGTCCATGAGTACTGTGTACTTTTTTTTTATTTTTTATATTAATTTAATAAAATCTATAGAAACCTTTTAAATTCTAAAAAAGATGACGCTTACATGAGAATCATGTTCATGTAAGACTAAAAACTACATTACATCATAATCGTTTATAGACTGACTATTAACAATTTAACATGCAGGTTTGGACTAACATTTTATTTCTTTTGTGTGTAAACTATTCCTTTTAACAAGCAATATTTTGTTCTTACCTTTTGATGAGGTAGATGGCTGGGCAGAATCTTTATTCCCATTGGCAATGTTTTTCCCTTCTT